AGAGCCATGTAAATTCTGTGTCCCTGTCATAATTGTTGATATAATGTGCTCCCCAAACTTGCAACTGGTAATGTAAGTAGGTTGTATATTGAAGTTCTGAGAAAGATTGTTTGAGAACAATACCTTCAGTTGCCTAAGGGATAAGGTACAATTTGTAGTTAGAAAGCTAATTAAGTAGTTAGGCTTATCTTGAGTGGAATTATGAGTCATGATAAACATTATAACACATTTTTTATTCCCTATCAATAGAATATAGTATAAAATATGAACTTTTTTTGGTAGGTTTTTGCCATAGGGCATTTGCACTAACTGGAGAGAGCATATGCATTTGTAGAAGAGAAAAAGTGAGAAGTCACCCCGATCCCCACCCCACTGAGGAAATGGCCATGCTGCAATCACTTCTCCTCCATTCTCTTCTCAGGATTCAGAATTTGGGGCATGCACACACACACGCCTGGCATGATTTTGAAACCACTAGGTCTAAGACTCAAACTGTGATTGGGAGTCCAGCACCTTAACCACCATGCAACCTGCTGATCCCTGAATACACACACACACACACACACACACACATATATATATATACACACACACACACTTTTTTGTTTTAAGGAAGGGTATCTCTGTGTCATGCTCCTCCTGCTCAACCTCCTTAGTGGCTGGGACCACATATGCTAGCAGGCCCAATTCTGTTTCAGACAGGGTCTCACACTGTTGCTCAGGCCAGCCTTGATCCTCCTGCCTCAGCTTACCCAAGTCTCCAGGATTACAGGTGCACACCGTAGTTCCCAGCCCTTAGACTGGACCAGGAATCAGACCCAGGCCCCATGTGTCCCCAGGTTGCAGAACACAGAGTCTTAGTATCATATACTACCACAGCTGGGTTCATCTTTTTTTTAATACATATTTTCTTCTAAAACAAATACAAGAGAATGCACTTAAAAATGCTTTTATGAACTGAAAAAAATTTATTCAAATATAAGAATTATTAGTTATAACTAATCAAATATAGATATTAGTATGAATCGCTGGCCCGTAGTACAAATCCTTTTAAAAGCATTTGTGAGACAGTGTTCTGAGGAAAATGACAGGGAGGAAGTGTGCAATCGTGTGACTACATTTTGATATGGGAGCGAAACATTGATTAATTGAAACTAATAGGAGTGATAGTCTCAAGTTAAAGCAACTAGAAACAAGTCAAAATGCTCAAAATATTTCATTATGAGAGACATCATTTTTAGAGTAGTGGCTCTGAATCAGAGACATACATAGAATCATCTGAAGAGGAGAAGAGAGCTGGTAGTTGGCACTTGTGGTTTGAAAGTGCCTTCAGGCCATCTGTAACATCCCACCTTAAGATTTCTTTCTTTTCGGGACCAGCAGTTAGCGTAATCGCTATGTCGCTGGACTCCCATGTAGTCGACCACGGTTTGCGTCCCAGACCTAGTGGCTTAAAACTCACGCCAGGCACCTGTGCATGCGTGCCCAAGATCCCGAGAGGAGAAGGGATTGCAGTCTGGCCATACCCCCTGGGGGAGTGATTTCTTGCTTTCTGTCTCTCTGTCTCTGTCTGGTGAGCGCACACGCCCTATAGCAAAAACACCTCTCAAAAAAAAAAAAGATTCCCTTCTTTTGCATCTGAGAGTAATTGAGTTGGAAAATAACTGGTGATTCTAAGTTTTTGAACTCCAAGAATATTCAATTGCAGACCCTTCTCATCCCTAGAGTCTTAACAATCATGTTGCTGTTGACATTCTTTCAAGAAGATGCCTCTTCATTTGGGCTACATTGACCCCCTAGGAGCCTAAAATATTTTGCTTCTTGGCTGTTTACCTATACTTTGTGTGGGCCAGTGAAGCGGCTGTATGTCTTGAACCAGAAGGCAAGATTCATAGTCTAAAAGTAGAACTGAATGTTAAATAAGGGCTGTACCAGAAATCATTTGTCATATGCTCACTATCACTGTGACCTTTCTTTCAGAGCCATCTTTGTCCTCTCAGCCATGACAGGCTCTCAACAGCGACTCGTTCACTGATTTTTGCCACTACTTGATAACAGAGTTGAGAAATACTACCTGGTCCCTTCCAAATTCCTGCTCACATCCTACCCATATGGGGAAACCTGTTTGCAAAACCAGACGTTCTATCTCTGCTTCTGTACCCATGACATGGTCTCTACATCGTCCTTGCTCCATCGTTTATGTTTATCTATAATGTCTCTCCTTTCTCCATCTCTGGCTCCTTTTACATGCCTAGAAACAAGCTTATTCCTGATAATAAAACACATTAAACAAAAGAAACAAAGTATTTTTTTCTAGAAGCCAGAACATTCCAGAGGTTTCATACCTATTGATACACCTTTATTACTCACTGTCTTAAAATAATTAACGATGTGTCCTTACTCTAAGTGTATTAGCTTAAATGAAGCCCACAGACTTCAATGAACTACTTACTCACTCACGGTCTACTGAGTCCTTCCGAACTACAAGTTCCCTTTTGGTTCTCACCATGCTCTACTACTCTGCATTTGACAAAGTAGACCAGTAGTTTCCAATTTTAGCATGCATTAAAATCACCTGGAGTCCTTGTTGAAATTCCCTGGCCATATTCTCAGAGGTCCTGATGTATTAGGACCAGCTTAGGGTCCAAGAATCTGCATTTAAGTGAGGCTGACCAGGTGAACCTGGTGCAGGTAGCCTTCAGATCACACTTTGGGCAACCATTCCTTCTTGAATCCAGCCAGACAGAATTGATCACTCTTTATTTATTAACTAGAAACTTGATTCATTTCTATAGTCTAACTCTTACTACATTGTGTACCACATTGTGTTATGTTCATTGTTTATGCATCCAAATTTCCCATCAGAATACACATTTTATACAGGAAAGAATCAAGTCTTACTGATCTTTATCTTCCAGTATCTAACACATAAGACGATTGTTAGAAAAATGGCAGTTTTAAGGCATTTTTCCTGCTTCCCGGAAAAAAAAATGGGAAAAAAGTCTTATTAAAGCATGCTCTGTAGTGAATGCTATGTAAAACAAGGCTCTGAAGGTAGAAGACTTTGTACCTGCCTTCCATCACTCATAGTCCAATTAGGAGTTGATTACCTTCGTGTGCCCTACCACTACTAAAATTTGAATTGCTTGAGTACTGTGACATCTCACTGGTAATATATCTTAAGTGTGCTTCCTTTATCTGAGTTTCTGCCACAGTGATACTGAAATACAACCTAACAAGGCTGAAATTATGTTTGGTCAATATCAGAACTGTGGTTATGTAATCTGTGCAGTAATTATCCATTGGAAATATTTTTTTCTTGGGTATCCTTCATAGAAATATAAACTATGTTATTTGTAGAAATAATTTTTGTGATTTCTATTGCTGATATACTATTGTCACTGTGTTGAGTATAACAATCATTAATGCATTTTAAATATTTCCCATGTATTGGGTACCTACATTATTCAATTTATTCAAATATCACAAGCACTCCTGTACTCTGTAAGATTTATAGGAAAGAAAACAGAGACACAGGAAGCTTGTACAACCTGCACAAAATCACACTAGCCAAGATGGATGGGGCCAACTGGGCTTTTTTTTTAATACATTTTAAAAATTTTATTCCAAGTTCTTTTATACATTCAATCACATTATTTAGATGGCAAAGTGAATATTCTAACATGTGTGCATTTCTCCCCAGTCCAGTTGATAATACTATAAAGTTATCTTCAACAGATAATATCCCATTTCTTTATCCCATTAATGCTATGTCTCTCTATTTTTCTCCTTAATGTCCTTCCTCAGACTCTATTCCTTCACCCACCTTCTTCCCACCCTATATCTGGTATTCATAACCTTACTGTGTTTCTATAGCCTTACGTCACTCAGTTTCCACCATAGAGTATGGATACTCAGTATATATTAAATGGAGACATACAACGTCTCTCCTTCATGGCCTAGCTTGCTTCACTCATCAGCAAATCTTCCATATTCATCCACTTTCTGTCAACTTTCTGTCAAAAGCCAGGGTTTTTTTTTTTTTTTTTTTTTTTTATGGCTGAATAGTATTCTATAGAGTATACGTGCCACAGTTTTTCAATCTATTCATCTGTTCATGGGCATTTGGGTTGGTTCCATGTCTTAGCAATTATGAATAATGCCACAATAAATATCAATGTGAAAACATTTTTCCTACTGAGAATTCTTCTGTCCTTTGGGTAGATACCAAGGAGTAGGATTGTAAGATCATATGGAAGTTCTATTTGTAGATTTTTGAGGGATCTCCAAATTGTTCTCCTTTTTTAACACATTTAATCATTATACATCACTTTGCTTGTAAGTTGAGTCTACCCAACTTGAAAACACTTCATACTAGTCCAGTTGAGGATACAAAATACATTATCAACAACAAATAATAACCCACTCTGTGTCCCATAAATGTCCTGCCTCTCTATTTTCTCCCTTAATTTCCTTCCTTACACTCTCCCACTTCTCCCACCCTTCTCCCATTTTGATTCCGGAATCTATCACCATTTGGAATGCTTCTGTATCCTCCAGTCTTTCAATTTCCATCATCAAGTATGAGCACTCAGTAGGTGTTAAGTGGAGACATACAGTGTCTCTCTTTCATAGCCTGGCTTGCTTCGCTGAATATCCTCCAGTCTTTCAATTTCCATCATCAAGTATGAGCACTCAGTAGGTGTTAAGTGGAGACATACAGTGTCTCTCTTTCATAGCCTGGCTTGCTTCGCTGAACAGCAAATCTTCCATATTCATCCACTTTATATTGAATGCCAGTGTCTTGCTTTTTATGGATGAGTAGTATTCCATAGAATATATGTGCCACATTTTTCCAATTCATTCATATGTTCATGGACATCAAGGTTTGTTCCTTGACTTAGCCAATTGGACTTCAAACCTAGTTGCTGTATCTGCACAGGAGGGAGACATGAATGGGTCTGTCACTGAAGCTGGTGTCTCATCTTCTCTATCTGCAGGGTGAAGAAGTTGAAGGAGACCCTGGTTGCTGTGCAGCAACTCGATAAGAACATGAGCAACCTGAGGACTTGGCTAGCTCACATAGAGTCAGAGCTGGCCAAGCCCATAGTCTACGATTCCTGCAACTCAGAAGAAATACAGCGAAAGCTTAATGAGCAGCAGGTAAAACTTAAACCCACTGAAATCAAATTAAAGAGCCATCAAATGCCAGTCTTCTTGGTGGGACAGCAGAGCAGGTGTCAGATGGTGATTTAGCAAGGAGCAAGGAGAGTCAGCAGAAAACGAGGCAGGTCTGGTGATGAAGGGGAGGCTTTGTCTAGGCCAGTGTTTGGGGCAGGCAAGCTCCAAGTTCTGAGAGGAATAAGTGATAAAAATACTTGTTAGCCTGGCTATGGTAAAGCACATGGTTGGGCCTGGTGGCACACTCCATAGTCAGAGCTACTGGGGAGACTGAGGCAGAATCATGACATAGTAAGATCCTTTCTTAAAAAGACAAACACACACACCAAAGATCTTTGTGCCATCATAGGGCTAGTACCATTGGTCCACCAAGACCATCTAGGGTGATAGGTAAAATTTAAATTGCAACGATGTATCCAAAGCAGGGTTGACAGCTTTATTTATTGATCTGGGATCACCAGCGCACTAACTCAGAAAGGAGACCTTCTTTTTCTTTCTACAATGTTTGGAAAAAGATTATAATACATACTTAAAATTTTTAGGTTTAAAAATTGTTGTTTTGCAATGAGAATTGCAAGACCTACCAAGAAAGGAAGACGACTCTAACAAAATGCATACAAAAGTCGTATTCACTTCCCACTCCTCTCACTTACTCTTATCAAGTATATCTAGTTCCAGTTGCCAATAGTAAATACCAAACACCTCCCATGGGAAGTGTTGTTATTACAGGCCTTTGGGGTGTTTGAATTTTCAGTCAAGATTCTGGTTCCTTGTATTACATTTCAGTCATTATAGCCAATTTCCCTAACTTAATAATGCTATAAAATGTAAATAGCCTCTATTTTTAAAATCCTGTAAAATGGTTTATGTATATATTTTATCTTAAGGACTATTTAAGTCAATTAGAATATGTGTTAAAATAGTTTTAGGTGTTGAGTTTTAAAAAAAGGGGACCAGTAGAGGACGTAATAGGTACATCGCTGGGCTCCCATGTAGTCAACAGTGATTCGAGTCTCGAACCCAGTGGCTTAAACTCATGCCAGGCGCAAGTGCATGTGTGCCCAAGA